TTTTATTCCTCCCAATCTTCTGTTTAAGGCTGGCATGAAAGTATTTTGTGTTCAAATCTCCCTCCTGATACCACTTCTCCTTTAACTTTTGGCTATAATAACCCATCACTGCCTTGCTTGCCAGAACATACTCCACATTAGCCTCTTTCTCTACCTGTTGCCAATGTTGATTAAAAGGATCAGTCTTCAATCTCTCTTGCACCTCTTCCAAACACTTTTTACTTTTTAGTTCTTTCTCCTCAATTCCTGAGAATTTCCTTCTATTGAGTTCTTTCAAATGCCTCTTCAATAGTTTCTGAGTTTGTACCAGTTGAAACTGTCTACATCCTCTTACTTCCATTTGCCAATGTTGTCTAACTGTAGAAGCACATTCAGGATCCTATAACCACATATTAAAAAACCTGAATGACTTCTTCTCACCAACATACTCTTCTCCCCACTTCACCATTAAGCACTTGTGATCTGATATGCCAGCTGATAACACAGTATTATAAGACTCAGGAAATTCTGTCAACCATTTCCCATTGACAAATGCTCTGTCTAATTTGGACACAATCCTCATATCACCACATTGTTTAGTATTCCAAGTAAAAATCCACCCTGAGTTGGTAATTCCCATATTTCACAGTATTCCACCATCTGCTTAAATTTATCAAAATCATTATTCAACACTTCTCTGCCTCCTATTCTTTCTTCTTGGTTCAAGATACAGTTAAAATCACCAACCATGATCCAAGCTTCTTGAATGCCATTTGCCATATCCTGAAGTTGTTCCTATAGTCTAAATCTTCCCTGAGCTAAGTAATCAGCATACACCAGAGTGATGTAGTACTTCCTTTTACTATCTTGCTCAGTAAAGTGACAGTGTATGAACTGCTTATCCACCTTTTCCACTCTAACAACATAGTCATCCCTCTTCCACATTAATAAGATTCTTCCCTTCTCCTGATTTTCATGATTACTTACATACCCAAACTGATACCATCTTCTTTCCATTAACTCCTTCACATTGTCTCCTTGTAATTTTGTTTCTAATAATCCCATAACTCCTGCTTTATTCACAGCAAGGCAATTATCTACCTCTCTATGTTTCAGGGGACTATTAAGTCCCCTTATATTCTATGATAGTATATTATTCATGGATCCTAGGCCCTGGATCAGGGTTACTAGTTCCTTGATATATATTATTAATGGATTTACTCTTATCACCACCTCTTCCTTCTGCCACTTTAATACCTTTCTGATTTAGTATTTGTATACTAGATTCACCTGTTCTCCTAGGAGACCCTTCTGGACTGGTATTCTTTGATCTGGACTTGACACCAATGCTCTTCACTGGGCTCTTATCATTGCTCTTCATTGGATTCTTAATTTCAATTGGCTTGTTTTCCTGTATCACTTCCTTCTGATTGTCAACTGATTTACGACTCCACTTTTATTCAACTGGCTTCCTGCATTGTGTTTTCTCATGACCATATCCTCTACAATTATCACATTTGATTGGCTTCCACTCATATACCACTTTCTGCTCTTGTACTACACCACATTCATCTTCATACCACACTGCTTCCTTCAATTTATCTCTGAATTCAACCTCAACTAGTATTCTTGCATATGCTGCTCTTAACTTGTTTTCAGTCATATCATCCATCTCAATTGGTTTGCCTATCATGCTGGCAAGCCTACTGAGGGATGTTTCATTCCAGTATCTAAGCTGCAAGCCAGGCAATTGAATCCATACAGGAACTGAGCTTAATTCTTCCAGTTTGATACCTTTCTTCACATCCCAGTCCTTAACAATGAATGGACGATTATCAAACTGGTGAATGTTTTGCTTCAGCACTAGTTCCTTATCTTCCATATAGCCAAATCTTACCACAAAAACTCCATTATTCAATAACAAGACTTTATCCACACCTCTTCTGCTCCAATAACGACGTATAAATCCATTCATAACTGGAAAAGGTGGCTTAGCACCCAAGACATAACAGATCACAGAGTTTTTTCAATACTCCACTTCACCTTCAATTTCCTCTTTAGTAATTTTCACAATTTTACGACTATTCACCAGATCCGGCTCAATGAACCTCGATTTCTTTTTGGGTTGATGTAACACTTTCAGATCAAACCCTTCCCATACATTTTGACTCCCAAGTTTCGTTCCTCCTTCCAATTTATTAGATCTTGGTTCATTTGGAGTATTAGAACTTTCTCCTACTTCAATTACTCTTTGCTTGCATATATCCTCAAAGATTGAATTAGAATTACATGGTCGCAAGCTGAACTGAGCTTCCTTGTTCGAGTTGTCTTCATCAATCAACTGTATCCCCGCTAATTGATCCTTCTCCACCTATGTTTCCTGCTTTCAATCACTTCTTACCACCTCTCCTCTTTTCTTTGGCTTCCTTGCCATTGCAGACTTGTATCGGAGTTCAAGGTCGAGAACACACAATCAGTGTATTTCGCCCACAGTTGAAGAGAGAGAAAGTTTTTTAATTTTTGTATCATATATATGCCCCTAAGCTTTAGTTCTTGTTTCAATGTAATCCAATACAAGTGGTATGAACTGATGCAAAAAACAATTAACGAAATGATTAATCAATCATTCAATTGAAAAGTTAATCACTTAGGCCGAATTTAAAACAAAGAAGTTACTGAGAGTTCTAGTTCAATTTTAATATAAAACATCCTTTTACAAAGAAAAATAGAATATTTGGTGAAATTCCTTCTTTACATGTGTAATTTTGTGTGCTCAGCATAAATTGGCTAACCAAATTGGTTGCAGAATTTTGTTTTATTTTTTTAAATTAAAGGTGAAAAGTTTCGAAATAAGCAAAAAAGCCTGAAACTTATGGTCTACTATTCAATTTTTTTTTGGGCTTCTTAATCACAATATTCGCAATGACGCAAGAAAGTAATGATCAATTATTGTAGATACTAACGAATTATTTAGTTTTATTTCTGACTTAAAATTTGAAATTTGAAAGTTGAAAGCTAAAAACAGAAAATCGGGAAGGAAATTAAAAATGTAATCTTTGTTCACATTTTAATCTTCAAATAATATTATTACTTTTGTTTCAAGGAACATGTAAATGTTATCGTCCATTTCTTTATTGGTTATTAATATGATGATAATGTATGTTATAAAAGTAATCAGAAAAAAAAAAACTGAAAGAGAGCATTCAAGTAGCTTATAACTTTGTGAATGTAAACTTTTTGCTCATAAGAGAAAATGACCACATCTTGTGTCTTCAAAGCTATAATACAATATATTTCTTAGATTTTCAATTTTGGTCCATCAAACAAAGGTATGTAGAATGTTTTGTAAACATTTAATTACACACACACACATTTATTATATATCATATGTATATATATATATACATATATATATATATATATATATATCGTATTTAACTTGATCGTTGATTTCACCTTTTAAGTAATTTGTAAAACTCTTAAGTGAAAGTCAATCATCACCATCTCAGGTAACAAAACACTATCCATCATGGGCTAATACTACTTTATGAAAGAGAAATTTTTTTTATGAAATTAAATGTCTATGATGGAGTGTAATCACAGGATATTATATGTGCTACTTTTGCGCATAAGATAATAAAATAATTTGAAGTTTTAATGTTAAGCCGATAGAGTATTAGATGTGCCACTTTTGCGTATTTAAAGAAAATAATAGTGACATGCGGCGCGGTACGTGATTCAATCAAATAATTAACCAATTTATTGAGTTAAAAACCAACCACCTAGTCCATTAAAAACGATAGAAAATAATGTATGTAATTCGTGGACTTCCTTGTTGTCTTTGTTAAGTCGACGACAACATCAACGCAACTAATTTCTCTTAAAAAACAAAATTACTTATATGAAAAAACAAAATTTAGAAGCCTATTCGTAGGGATTTTTTTTTTTTTTTAATAAAACTGAAAGTAGTACTGTAGTACACAAGTTTGTGTTCAAGTTCACATCTGAAGTATAATATTTGGGTTCTCTCGCAATTTAATAAGTAAACTTATAATTCTACTAAAAAACAAAAAAAAAAAAGAAGAAGCCATAAATGAATCAAGTAGAGTATGAGTTTTTAAAATCAACCACACGAAAAAAGGCGTTAAACTAATAACAACTCTTTACTATCTATGTTATTTATTTATTTATTTATTTTTTTTTTTGCAATATGAGAATACAATTTTACATCTTTGGAATGAGATGAGAAAAAACTAATTGCTTTTCACTGAGATTTTGGTAGATTATTATGAATGTGTGTAGTACATAAAAGAAAACTAAGAAATATAGTGATCTTTTATTCTACATTTCTTGTTTCTATTTTTTTTTCATTGCAAAGTGATTGTATCTATTATCTAATTTGTTACTCCCTCTGTCAAATTATTGTCTAGTTTGAGATTTCACTTTTAGTACAATTTGAACTAGAAATGAAAACTCAAACTGGATAATAATTATGGGACGGAGGGAATATATTAAAACATCTAAGATGATTACTTTGTAAGGTAAATAACATTCTGTAATTTTGTAATATCTGAGGGGAAAAAAACATATTGTCACACTAAACACAATGTTATAATTCAGACTTTACGAACACGTACATGAAAAAAAAAAAAAAAAAAAAGATAACAAAAGCAGTGCGTAATCATCCAGGTCAGCAGCGCGGGAAAGATAACGAACAGATAACAAATGTACTTACAGCTTGTCTACGTGGCACAAAACAAAGAGGTGGACCCTCAGGAACTTCGTCCCCGCCGTCACTCTTTCGTCTTTACTCTTTACCGACACGCAAAAGATGGACAAAAAAAAAAAAAAAAACGCACACAGTCACACACTGATGACTGAAACTCTCAATTCAATCGCATTCATCTTTTACGGATTACGCACTGAACCGAACTAAAATGGTTTAATTGTTTTCGCCAATTCCCAAATTTAGTAGTGGTACAATTTTGAGGTCGGAAGAAGAGGAAAAGAAAGAAAAGACAATGGCGGAACTTGGGAAAACGGTGCTGGATAAAGGGTGGCTGGCGGCAAGGTCAACGGAGGTGGAACTTACCGGAGTTCAGCTCACCACCACCGACCCTCCTTCCGGTCCGATTAACCCTTGGATGGAAGCTGTCATTCCCGGAACGTAATCATTTCTCGCTTCTCTTTCTGCTTTTTCATTCTTTTCTTTTGGGCTCAATCCTGCGTTTTTTTATCTCTGTTTTTTTTTTTTTTGGGTTTAAAAAATGATCAAGGCAAGATTTTGATAAAATTTGGCCATCTTTACGGGGGTTTAAGTTTATTTTATTGAGAGAAATAACAGGGGATTGAATTGAAGGAGCCATTCTGTAATCTTTAAGAAGTAATGAAACCTTCCCAATTGAAAAGAGTAGAAAACTTTCAAAAAAAAAAAGAAAAAGAAAAGAGTAGAAAAGAGATTGGGGAAAGATAGCAGTACATTGTGGATGAAATGCATTTTGTTTTCTTCTTTTCAATGTTCTTTTCTTGTTGATTTTATTGGCAGTGTTCTGGCGACCCTGGTAAAGAATAAACGTGTACCTGACCCCTTTTATGGACTTGAAAATGAGGCTATCATTGACATTGCTGACTCTGGGAGAGCACATTACACCTTTTGGTTTTTCACCACATTTGAGTGTAATCTGGTAAGAAAGTTTGACTTTAAGTTTGATTCGTATGCCTTTGCATATTGTATAGTTTCAAAATTCAGAGGAGTCCAATTTGAATAGGTTCTTTCTTTAGATACTTGGTGGTTTGATGATGCTCTACTCTCGTTTCTCAACGGGATATACCTCCATTCTTTTTTGTTGTTGTGTGTGTCGGGTGTGTATAATTAAGAAAGGATTTCTTGCTAAGCCCTTTGTGTATCGGAGTTGTGGATGAATGATGACTTCAATTTCTTTCAGTCAAACAATCAACACATTGATCTCAACTTTCGAGGCGTCAACTATTCTGCTGAAGTGTATTTGAACGGACACAAGGAGATCCTTCCTAAGGGGATGTTTCGAAGACATTCAATTGATGTTACCAATGTTCTCCATCCTGATGGTCCTAATTATCTTGCTGTTCTGGTCCATCCTCCTGATCATCCTGGGAGTATTCCTCCAGAAGGGGGTCAAGGTGGTGATCATGAGGTATGCATAGTTTCCCACTAAAAATAATTTTTAAATTTTTGGATGCTAAGATACCAGTGCAATTCATAGTAATGCCCTCTAACGGAATACATCAAAAGGCCTTATCCATAAACCTGTACTTGGAATTTGTATCAGAAGGCTAAGTGCATCTCTCTCAATTACCCAACTTCCTTTGTTTTTGCATTACAAGCTTGACAAGCTCTATTATGTAAGGAGTGTGCCACCTTGTAAACTAAATGCCTCTTGTAAAGATTTAAGGCAACAAACCCAAATCCATCCATACTTCAGTACTAGAGTGAGCTATAACTGAAAAAAAAAAGAAAAAAAAAAGAAGAAGAAGAGTGAACTGAAGAAAGACAGATACTCTACAGAAAATGCATAGAGATCCTTGCTTAAGCATAATGAATGAAAGATGAATTCTCATGAAAGACAGATACTCTACAGAAAATGATAAGGTTTTTCATAACTGGAATTCTCCCTTCGCCAGTGTTCGGTTTGTTTGACCTTTAATTTGGGAATGATATAATTTCAACTGTATGATCAAGCATAAATGCTAGTATATGTTAGTTGTGAATGTAATATATATATTTTTGGAGCTTTCCAGTTAACCTGGCAATGATGTGTTGTCTGAAAATTTGCATAGGACTATACCGATCTGATTCCGTCTAGCCACCATTTTATTGCTTAGTTTATTAGTGCATGTTGTCAGATGTAAAAGATTTTCATTTGTTTAAGCTAAAAGCTACAATAATCAAGATTCATATCTACAATTCTTGATGTCACCTTGATACTATACCTAATATTTTTCTTTTTGTAAAAGATCGGGAAAGATGTTGCTACACAGTATGTTGAGGGTTGGGACTGGATGGCTCCAATCAGGTAAAGATATGATTTTTGTTAGTCTTTCACGCGTTTGCTTAAAATGTTCAAAACTTTGTCATACCATTCCCTCATATGTGTAGTATTGTTTATGCTGTGAATGATTCTATTTATTACCAAATTTCATAATGTGCTGCGTTTCATATTGATTTCCAATGTGGATGCGATTATCATCAATGTTTTTGTCGTCTTAGGATTAGACTTGCTTTTTTACAATATCAGATTGGCATATATGTGGATTGATGCCACTATCCAAGCATAAGCATAACTCCTAATTAAAAGAATAGGGAGAAAGGGGTCTGAAGGTAAGTGGAAGTTTGGCCAGCTGTCTTGAGTGGCTCATAGAAGCTAATTGCATGTGATCTGAGAAAATTTGGAGTTAGGACAGTTGATAATGAATGCTCCGAAGAAGTTCTTCTCTCTCATTTTCTGTTTTTAACTGTCGTGAAGTGCCCTGGAAATCCCTGATTTGATTGAGTCAAATGTAGAATAGTTTCAAATAATTGCTAACTGAAGATAAAGCACACGGCACTTCTCATCAGGGAGTTAAATGGTGTAAAAACGAAAAGAAAAGATCTGTATGTTAGAATTTAAAATCTCATAAGAATTTGCTCCTTATAATCAGGTGATGAAGGTGTAAAGAATTTAGAAACCGAGAAGGGGGGAAACAGAAGGTGAAAATGAGTGAATTGTTCAAACAAAGAAAGTAACGGGGCTCAACATTTGTTTAATGTTATCATGTAGTTTAGAACCTTTTGACTTTTATGGATCTTGGTTTACTCGGATCATTTATAGCGTCAATTTTTCGTCATGTGTGGATGATTAGTTGTCCTATATAGATCGCCTAATTTTGAAGGCAAAAAGACTGCAGTTTGTGCATTGATTGTGTTGTTTTATGCTTAACAAACTTCCCTGAATACTTTTGCAGGGACCGAAACACTGGCATTTGGGATGAGGTATCCTTTTCTGTGACTGGGGTGAGTTACTCCAAATCTCAATATCTATTTATTGTGTTCTTAGAAAGGGGGGGGAAAAAAAAATCTGCCAAAATGTATGCATATCTAAACAGCGGGCATGGGTTCTTTTGGAGAGAAAACATACTTTTTTCCTGCAGCTGTACTGATAGAATAATTTATTAAATTCATGCATTTACCTAAATTGCTTTAGAGTCTTAAGGTTCAAACGGAGCGAATAACTGAAAATGAATTTATGAAGAAGTACTTTATTGTTGTTTTTTTCCAGTAACTTACATTACTGTAATCTTATGTCATGCAGCCAGTGAAAATTGTGGATCCCCACTTGGTTTCATCATTTTTCGATAATTACAAGAGGGTCTACCTGCATTGTACAACTGAGTTGGTAAACAAAAGTGCTTCGGTTGCAGAATGTACTTTAAATATCCAAGTGGCAACTGAACTTGAGGGTAACATATGCTCAGTTGAACAACTTCAAACGCAACATCTATTTGTACCCGCTGGCGCACATGTTCACTATACTTTTCCCGAGGTAGGCTGCTTTGTTTGTAAGTTTGACACTCCCAGCTTTGTCATTGACTTAGATGTATCACTCATTTTTAATTATATAAATGGTTTGGTCAACAGCTGTTCTTCTACAAGCCTCAGTTGTGGTGGCCAAATGGTATGGGAAAGCAGTCTTTGTACAATGTTGATATAACAATTGATGTGAAAGGTTTTGGAGAGTCTGATCTGTGGAGCCACCATTTTGGCTTTCGCAAAATTGAGAATTACATTGACAATGCCACTGGTGGAAGGTAAAAACCTACTCTTGAGGCTTTACTCTTCTTATCTTTGTCGTGACTTCTCGATTCTTACTGAAGTTGATGTATAACTTAGCTCCTTGAAGTTTTCTGATTTAAAAATCTTTGCTAGGTTGTTTAAGGTGAATGGTGAGCCCATTTTTATCCGTGGGGGTAATTGGATTTTGTCGGACGGACTACTTAGGCTCTCGGAGAAACGTTATATGACAGACATCAAGTTTCATGCTGATATGAATTTTAACATGATCCGCTGTTGGGGTGGAGGACTAGCTGAGAGGCCAGAATTTTATCGCTACTGTGATATATATGGCATCCTGGTAACTTCATTATTCTCGGTTTTGCTCTTTTGTGTTCTTGTATGATTTCTTTCGAGGGGTAAGGTGTTTGTATCCTTTTGTCTGTGCTTTTTACTTTTTGGGCACCACTACCTCTGGAGTCAGATAGCCTGTCTCTAGGTTTGAACTGTAAAGGTCCAGAAATGGAAGTGTTTAAGGCTTAGAGCTTACACTGCATCGGCTGGAGATGTAGCAAATAAAAACTTCAATTTAAGTGCAAGAGAAAGATATACGTCCTTAATGTCTATGTCACTCTTGCTACTACAGTATATATTCCCATTGCGTTCTACACCTAACCACTAACCAGTCGGAATTGTGTTTGAACCATGTGCATGGTTTCTTATGCTTCCTGATCGCTTCTCTGAGGGGCATTGAATTTGGAAGGTTTTGTTATTCGTCCTTCTTAAGGAATGTAACAAATGCATATGAGAATTCCCTCTGTAACGATCAACATAAAGATCAACTCTCAGTGAGCCTGAAAAATAAATTGAAGTTGTTAATTTTTCTTTTCCATCCTGTGAGATGGCGACATTTGGGAGGAAATCAAGTATCTATCTTATAGTGGAGGGTGTTTTTTTTGTTTTTTTGGTGGGGTGGGGGGTTGGGGGGTGTGGGGGAGGTGGCCTTTGTGATTGTATTAATAACTATGTATAATGTGGAGTCATGGGTTTTGCATGCCATCCCCATGGTGCTGGTAATGGATGGAATAAACTAAAGTATTTCTGAAATAATGGTTTTAGGGATCTTGAATGGTCGATTCAAATCTTTTTGTAGGTTTGGCAAGAATTCTGGATAACTGGAGATGTTGATGGGCGAGGTGTTCCGGTGTCAAACCCAGATGGTCCCCTGGACCATGATCTTTTCTTGCTTTGTGCTAAGGACACCATCAAGCTTCTGAGAAATCATCCTAGTCTTGCTTTGTGGGTTGGGGGCAACGAACAAGTTCCGCCAGCTGATATTAACATGACTCTAGAAAACTATCTCAAACTCCATCCCTATTTTGAGGACCAAATTGGACATGGCATTTCAAGCAAGGAAAGTTTGCCATTGTTGAAGGACCCAAGTCAATATCTTGATGGTACACGTGTTTATATTCGAGGATCTTTGTGGGATGGATTCGCGAAGGGAAATGGAGATTTCTCTGATGGTCCTTATGAAATTCAGAATCCTGAGGATTTTTTCAAGGATGATTTTTACCAGTATGGTTTTAATCCTGAGGTTGGTTCGGTGGGGATGCCCGTGGCAGCTACAATTAGGGCAACAATGCCACCAGAGGGGTGGGAGATTCCTTTGTTCCTGAAGTTGCCCAGTGGTTATGTACAGGAAGTTGCAAATCCAATATGGGAGTACCATAAATACATTCCATATTCAAAACCGGAAAAGAAGGTGCAAGATCAAATTTTACTTTATGGGAAACCGAAGGATCTCGATGATTTTTGTTTGAAGGTAACTGTAAGTTTTTAGAATGATTGCTGTTAGCTTATACCTTTTCATTGGCTTCACTTATGCATTGAACTTCTCAGGCACAACTAGTCAACTATATCCAGTATAGAGCTCTCCTAGAAGGCTGGACCTCACGCATGTGGAGCAAATACACAGGTGTCTTGATTTGGAAAAATCAAAATCCCTGGACTGGTCTTCGAGGTCAGTTCTATGATCACCTCCATGACCAAACAGCGGGATTCTATGGCTGTCGAAGTGCTGCTGAACCTATCCATGTTCAGCTTAATCTGGCAACATATTACATCGAGGTGAGATTCATCAAGCTATTTTCATTGTGTTTGAATCAGAAGAGCTTAATAGACTTCAAATTATCCCATGTTAGGTTAAAATAACTCCTTTTTGGCTAAAATTTTGGGTATGCATCGTGAAGGTTTCCTTCAGTTTCTAGTTTCTGCTGCTGGAATAAACTACAGTAACTGCCATGCCAAAATTTTTAAGTCCATCTCGTCAGCTTTCTGTTTTTTTGTTTATATTGGCATTCATATGCTTTTCTACTTTTTATATGTTGATCTTTTTTGTAGATGTATTTGGGAAAAATTTTGCCAATGATGAATGTATTACCAGAATTGTTTTGCAATGTTCTGTATGAAGTTAATTTATACTTTAATTTCAGATCTGGGGAAAAAGTTTCTTTTTACTTATTTCTACTTTTGGGGAATATTCAGGTGGTGAACACTACTTCAAAGGAAATACCTAATGTGGCTATACAAGCTTCTGTATGGGATCTCGATGGTACATGCCCCTACTACAAAGCATCTGAAAAGTTCACTATGCCATCTAAAAAAACAGTACCGATCTTTGAGATGAACTATCCAAAGTCTGAAAATCCTAAGCCGGTTTACTTCCTTCTTCTGAAACTAGCATCAGATGATGGTATTTTATCCCGGAACTTTTATTGGTTGCATCTTCCTGGTACTGATTACAAGCTATTGGAACCGTACCGGAAGAAGGCAGTTCCCCTTAAGATAACTTCCCAAGCTTTAATAAGGGGATCAACGTATGAATTGCAGATACATGTGGAGAATACATCAAAGAAGCCTGACTCGAGAACACTCCTTTCCACTGACATGATCTTCGAAAATAATGCTAATGCTTTGGAATGTTTTGAAGCATTGCCATCTGAATCAGTACCTGTTGCGACGGACAGAAAACAGCTAAGTCTCATCCAGAAGATCCGTAGAAGTTTTTCGAATGAGCCTAGCAATGGTTTCAAGGTAGCTGAAATCAGCGGAAATGATGTTGGAGTTGCTTTCTTTCTTCATTTCTCAGTTCATGCTTCAAAGGAGAACCAGAAAGATGGGGAAGACACCCGCATTCTTCCTGTTCATTACTCGGACAATTATTTTTCATTAGTTCCTGGTGAAGTAATGCCCATCAACATTTCCTTCGAAGTGCCTTCTGGCATCAAGCCCCGTGTTATGCTTCATGGCTGGAACTACACTGAAGGGCATACAGTTCTTTGATTTCTCTGCATAATGTATCTCTTTTTGCAGATTGATGCACATAGAATAATAAATCAAATAAAAAGTAGAAGATCTTAACTGATATCAAGATGGTATTGGTTGTATGTATTTATTGATAGATCAAAAGCATCTCTAACAATCATTGTTGAGTGCTGCCATTGGAACTTCTAACAGAGCAAAGCTTCCAAACAGAAATGTAACTGTACAGTCATGGACTTGGTCAATGACTACAGCCTACTAACTTTTCTCGGTCTCGATCCAACTAAGGCCAGATTCTTTTGGCACTCCCCTCCGTTTCATCATCCTAATCACTCGTTCTCTATCTTTCCACTTCCCTTTTGAAGAGTATAAATTGGCCACTAGTGGAACAGGGACCGGAGTATCAGGAGCAAACAAAAGCAGTTGATCAGCTGCAAACTTTCCAAGTTCAGTAGCGCCGTGAATACTGCATGCTCCAAGTAAAGCTTGCCAAACTAAGGCTCCCGGCCTTATGGGTAGTTCTTCAATGAAACTCTTCGCTTCTTGTAATAGACCTGCCCGGCCAAGCATGTCAACAATACAAGCATAGTGCTCCATCCTTGGTTTCATGCCATAAACTTGCTGCATTGATTCTAAGAACTCCATGCCTTTATGTACTAAGCCAACGTGACTAGATGCATGAAGCAAAGAGAGAAATGTGACATCCGTTGGCTCTATACCTTCCGCCTTCATCTCCTCATACAATTCAAAAGCTCCGAAGCCATTACCATGACGGGCAAAAGCTGCTATCATAGAATTCCATGAAACCTGATTCTTCCATCGCATTCCATCAAATATCTTGGCAGATTCCTCCAAGCTCCCACACTTGGAATACATGTTAATCAAGCCATTGCTAACAAAAGTATTAGCACCAAAAGCTTTCTTCATAACCAGACAGTGAACCTGTTTACCAAGATCCAAAGAAGTATCAGCACCAAACACTCCGAGAACAGCAGAGACCACATCAGGATCAATCTCTGATCCCGCCTTCACCATTGCCAAAAAAATCTGGATAGCTTCATCCTCGAATCCATTTTGAGCAAACCCCAGAAGTAAAACTGTCATGGAGATCTCATCAGTCATCTCAGCTGATTCAAAAATCTGCCATGCATCCTGCACGTTACCACACTTTGAATACATATCCATCAATGCAGTTTCAATACGATAATTTGACTGAATCCCAAGCTTCCAAAGAAGCCCATGAATTTGGCATCCCCTTTGGAGAGATTGGGAGCCAGCGCATGCAGACAAAGCACTCAGATAAGTCAAAATATTGGGAAGCACGGGTCCACAGCACATTTCCTTAAATAAGCTCAAGCTGTCCTCAAAAAACTCATTTTGCACTAGACCCGATACCACAGCAGTCCAAGAGATGACATTCCTCTCCATCATCTCATCAAAAGCTCGTTTCCCGGAAACAAAACATCCACATTTAAAATAAGCTGTAATCAAGGCATTCCCGACTGCAGTTTCTCTCTCATAACCCCTCAAAACTACCAGACCATGAACCATCTGAGTAACTCCAAGAAAATCAAGTCCATCACAAGCTGATAAAACTGTCGTCAAACTGGCGCGATCAAACCCATGAAAACCCGAACTCAGCATTTCTTTGAAATAGCAGAATCCTGTTGAATATTCCCTTTTCCTCAAAAACCCAGAAACAATTGAATTCCAAGAAACAACATCCTTGTTCGGCATTCCATCAAACAGTTTAGCTGCAGTTTCTACCTTCCCGCACTGAACATACATCGACAAGAGAGAGTTCCAAACAACAAGAATATTTCCAATATGTCGATTACCACTGTGATCAGAATAAACAGGGCTTTTCACAATGGCGGCGTGGAGAGAAGAACCCAGACGGAAGTCGCCTTCTTTTCCACAAGCGGAGAGGAGGCTGCTTATTTGTACATGATTGAGTGCAGGAAATATGGTCAACGATGTGAAAGTTTTGATCCCGGAGAAGCCATCGGAGACCCATCGGAGAAATTGGCGACTCGACTTCGGAAAACTCAATCCGGCATTCATCCATCAAAAAATGGGTTGAAATTTGAATGGCGGGAGGGAGGTTAGGTCCTATGGGTAATAGAAGAAGGCGGTCAAAATAGAATTTTGAATCTTTTTGTTTCTACGTTTTGATCCCAAAAGGCCAAAAGTTCACGTAAATTGTAAATTGTACTCCCAAGGTTCTAAGGATTGAGATTGTCTAAATACTAGTACCCTTTATATTTGAGGTTTTTTTTGTTTTTTTCCTTTTGGTATATAGTTGAGTTTGAATCTTTGTTTTCAGACATGAGATCAGTGGAGGAGGAAAATAAGTGTTGATTAGAGTTGTGAACAGCAGCCATTGAAAGACAACCTGGAGAACAACTTCAAGCACTCATGTATTATGTTATTCAAACTTCAAAACTGTCATTGTTTTCCTAAAAATAAATCATTGAAAACGATATTTACAAGTAGACGACCTACTGCACATTGAAAGGCGACAGAACAACCGCCACGCCTATGGACAGAAAGCAAATCACATTGAGATCACTATTGGCAAGGTTCCTAAGAATCCTACCCTGCTTTCAAACTGCAGGTTACGGCAACGCCCAGGGTTGAACATCACAAAGCCACTTCCTTTCCCCTGGAAAACCATCATGGCTCTTGCAATCTTTTCTTGTGTCTTCTATCTACCCGCAGAACTTCAATCCTCGGAACTAGTATCAGCAGTCTCGTCGTCTTCACTATAACTAGATGGTACCTCGGCAGCAGGCCTAAAGCATGAATACATGTCAGCGGAACAAAATTTTGTCTAATAAATGCAAGCAAAAAAGAATATGTTCTCCCAAATATTGTAATGAAAATAACAGAAAATAAGCTTTTTCATTTTACAGGGAAAGGTCAAAATACAACTGTAATCCGTGGTCTTCAAACATCACCAAACGACCAGTAGTTCTTTCAAGGCTTCTAAACTTTAGATGCATACAAACGTTGCAATCAATCAAGTGTCAGGAGTGCAAATCTAAACTTAAAAACTTATTAGATTTGACACTGCAGCCGATACGTCCTTGGAAATATGGGTAGAAAATAATTAGCAATGATTAATCTGTTGCATACTAGCATTTCTAAACAAAAATGTCAAGAACTAGGCCCGTAAATCTCAAGCGCATCTTAATCAAAACAGTCTCGAGTAAAAAAACTTAGAAGTTATAGATAGCAAAAGATGTGTCACAAAAGGAAGTGTAGTCGGCAGGCATCTAACCTGGGAACTTGATTTTCCCAAGGTGACCCTTCCTTTCGAAATGGTTTCTTCGTATAATCTTCAACAAGTTCATTCTTGATCCTTTTAGAAGCCTACAGGTTGAAAGGAGCATACTGGTTAAAACACATATGTCATCGGATTACAGAGGAGCTACAAGAAAGAGTTGGACTTCGGTAATTCACTGTAAAAATTTCATCCTTAGAAGCAACCTCAGGTTGAACTGGATCAAAACTGTCATTAACAGCAACCTTCTCCCCGGGGCTTTTTGTCTCCTAAACATCATAATCAAATAGTGAAAAGATCAGAAAGCAGGATGGAAAATGTATCAAAAACCTACAGTAAAAGGAGAATAGAATTGACCTTTGGTGTTCTTCTAAACAGCCCTTTATACTTTGAATCATCATTTTCAAACACCTTATAGGTTGAATTTAATCGGCCAGAATCATAGTGGTCTGATGTAGAAACCTTCGGTCTCTTACTTTTATGGTTCTGCAACCAAGGCTCTGATGGTTTTCTATTGATTTTTGCGGCATAAATATTGGACTGATTATGACCAGAAAGGGAATCCAAGCTCATCACTCCAACATCACGTGCAGTCCTTTGATCAGACTCCCAGCTTTCATGAACACGATTTCTTTTAACAGAACCCTCGTGAATATCAGTTGACGAACTTTTTGCAGGACGAAAATCATTTTGATTGTACTTAGGGGATCTCGTATGGAACTTTTCTTGATAATAAGCTTCAGGATTATCAGGTCCACGTGCCTTCTTAGACCTTGAATCCATCTGAGAGTTATGAGAGCTTATCCCTGAGGTATACCGGTAACCCTATAACAAAAAAATGTCAGTTGGTCTGATGGATGAATTATATCATAAATATGTACACAGATATCAGAGCCGGAGCCTGAGGCTAACAAACACAGGATCATCCATTTACACAAGGTTAAAAAAGATGCAGAACAACGCAAGCATAAAGTATAAGAAGAATAAATAACTGCGGTAAAATCAAAGCAAAATACACAGTCCATCTGGAATAGGATAAGACAAGCTACACTATGAAAGGAGCAATCAATAGATTCAAGAGATAATAAAAGTATAAAACACACTCATCTGAGGAGTGGTAGGACTAGCGCCCATGTAATCATGCAAAATATGGTAGGGCTTCTTTAGTTATCTCTACCAATGAGAATTGAACCCATGACTTCGCAGTTACAATCCTTGTCCTTACCCTCCCACCCAATTGCAAACTATTCCTGAATCAACTATCAACAAACTTCAAATGATTATGTTCTATCGAAGCACTCTTTAGGATGACTAAGCACAAGTAATCAGGACTGATACAGACAACAAGCCAGTTATACGACCCAAGTTTGTACATCAATCTAATGGAAGTGATGCACTCTTTCTACTCCAGAACTGAAACGATGAGAGTTTAAGTTCGCAGAGAGAAGTTCGGACCATGCTTTGGAATGATTAAGAAGGTTACACCGCCAAAAGGTAGACAGAAAAATAAATGATCAAGTATTTCACTTACAGGGCCTGAATTATGATTCCTGTGACCCATAACAACCTCTGGTGAGTAGGCCAGAGCAGATTCTTCAGCATAATAAGATCCTGTAAACATCCAAAATAAGCATTGAAAAAGCATGATCAGAGACAGACAAGCTCAATGTGATCTAGAATGGCAGACTTGCACATATAACAGCAAATCAAAATTCCTGAACAAAAGTACTAGGAAGTAAATGCAAAAGAGTAGGAACTTCAAATCGTAGAAAAACATTTTTTAATACAGAGAGTGTTAACCATGTGGATCCAGTGCTACCGTATACAACAATTATAACCCGCTCAAAATAACAACTCTATAATGACCAAATGGGAAAACTTTCAAAACAACAACTTGACAGGAAAAAGGGGACAATAAAACCACTTTTTGAGTTGCTATGGGCCATAATGACATGAAACCTTAAAAAAATACAATTGCCAGAGACCAACGAAAATCAAGGGCATGACCCTGAAGTTTAATACCAGAAATAAGCACTAGGATAAGCTAAGTTGCAGATAAGAATAAAGATAAGCACTTGCAAAAGAGAAAGTTTACGGAATGCCCTTAATTAGCAAAGTACAAGCTCAATAGGTTACCTTGGGGGATAGGTATGTTTTATTTTTTTAAGATACTTTCACTGCTTTAGATACAGAACCTATGACATAGAATGACATGTAGCAATGCAGAGTGCATTACCGCATTATATCAAAACATAGACTTAAATGTTCAAAGGGCATAGTGATCAGTCCATATTTTAAGAGAATGTAATCTATTAAATCCACACAATCAAAGGTTTGTCCTTGAGTTGAAGGGGTACAAGGCCAAACTAAAATCTTTAAAAAAAGAAAAGAATGTTCACATCCGTAAAGTATGTATACCCTGAATTACCATGAAAAAAACAAAGCAACCAGAAATATTCAAAAGTTCAAAAAATAAGATGACATAAGAAACAAAATGAAACCTAACATAAATATTCTAACTCACCATTATGTGGTTCGGCAATTGGAGACTCAAATGCACAAGGGGGAAGTGGATCGAATTCAACACCAAGGGGTGGACCATCAGCCCGGTAATGCCTTCCCAACTGCCTTTTAACAGCAGTAATAGCAGCATTCTCAACCTGACATTTCACTTTCAAATAACCTGATGGACCAGTCCGAGGTTTGAACTCCTTTACTCCAATTGCCAAACCTTGTCCATGGTTTCTTGAAACATCCACTCCAAAATGATCTCTCTCATAAGAGAAAGACGTATGCCGCAACGAAGAGCTACTTCCTGATGAAGTGTCATCAGGGGAACAATGTTTAGCCATAGCCAAATGACGACTACCAAGCTCATAGTTGATCTCTGCAGCAGAAGATTCTTGGCAAGTTAATCTTCTACTTTCTACTTCTCTGGGTTCAAAATGCCTATCATCCCCTTGTTTAGTGCTGCCACAAGAATCCTGCCTAAATCCACTCCCACGATCTTGTACAATTCCACTAGAGCGATCTTGTCTTCCGCCGGCCTTTGCATCATTCGACAACCTCTTATCTTTCAACCGCCTGTGGCAAAACCACCCAGAAACCTGCTTTTCTGTCAATCCTATTGCCTTTGCAACTTCTTCTTTCATAGACTCTGTAGGATATTTGTGTTCTGGCAAAACAGACAAAATCATTGTTATTTCACATCTAAAATAGCTCAACTAAAGCAATACATACAAATTCAGAAGACTTCTATACCATCATAGAATTGCTCCAAAGCTTCAACCTGAGCACGTGTTTTGACTGTTCTCTTCTTATTCTCTGGAAGGGCTTTTTCATCTCCAGAATGCTCGTTATCTATTCAGGAAGACAAATGACAATGAGATTAACAGCAGAGCACTTTCATATGAGCAAATTCTCACCAATATCAAATGCTGAAATTTATGACATGGTCAGAAAGGGGCAAAGGGCAAGTACTACTATGAGGAAGCGCGTACATTGAAGTTTAACAAATATGTGCAGTTCAATATCGATTTACTCAATTCAGTGCAATACATTCCAAGACTTTGATTTCAGTAAATGTTGAGGAATTATATCTGACTGCTACTTCCAAATTTTAATTGGCTACATAAACTATCACAAAGTCAGCGGATTTCTGTCTGAACAGCATAGGATTCTTCAAACATAGCCTAAATATTCCGTGCAAGGAGATAAGAGATGTACGAGATCCAGACCACTTACATTCCAAACAGATGCATAAAACACAAATCTGAAGTGCTATTGTAAAAACCATTTAGATGAACTCAGAACAACTTTACTAAAAACCCCCCACATGTTTTATCATCAAATTTTGCAGGTCGATAGTCATTAACGAAAACCTAACGTAACAGTTGAGTTTCCCACTGGGAAAAAAAAAAAAAAAAAAGGAAAGCAAAACGAACAACGCAGAAAGAAAATAAAAGTATTGAAACAAAAACCAGAACTCAAAATTCACTGAAACCCAACTCACAACTAGACACTAACAACAAAACCCATCTCTCAAACGCATAATTCAATAAGAAAATCACGTTAGAAGCTGTTAAGAAATTACAAAAAAAAAAAAAAAAGAACACATACCTCCCATGATATCGAATCAAAATTGAAAAGGGTTTCTGCTATGCTCTCTATTCCTTCCCTTTTGATTATTGTTCCAGGATTTCTAATCGACTCGACAACATTAGGAGCAATAGTCTGGTGAGAAAAGACGGAGACTGCAAGAGGGAAAAAAAAAAAACCAAAAAAACTCCTCACAATTTATTGTTCTAATAGCAAAAGCATTCTTATGATTTCCCAGATAACGAAAATCTGAAATGCACAAATAGATTTTTCTTCAGAGATTAATGTAATTGTAAACGATTTTCAGAGAAGTTATTGGTGCGGAAAAAGTTGAAGAAGCCTAAAATTGAAGAAATTCTTTTTGTTTTTGTTTGTAGTTGGCTCGGGGATCAGGGGATTGCCATGGATGAATTCTTAACTGATGTGGCAACCAAAGAGACGGTAAAAGGATAAAACATAATGGTTAAAACTTCTTCTTTTTTTTTTACTTCTATCGAATTCCAGTATGCTACAGCTATACTTATATTTTTGAGTCTTTTCCCAAAAAAAATTAATTAAAATAAACGTGGACAAATTTAAATTTTTCAGAATATTTGTGGACAGAACTATATTTCTCGGATTTCTGAAATCCGAGTTCTAATTAAAATTACAGATTTGGATTTTGGAAATCCGAGTTTATATTTAATAATAAAATAATAATTAAATAAATTTTCTTGAATAATAGTTTTTTAAAAATTCTTAAATGAACAGTGCCGGTCGGATTTGCGAAATCTGACTTTAATTAAAAATTAATAAATCGCGGCGCGAAATTTTTGAATCCAAAAACCGAAAGTTCGTAATCCGGTTTTATGAATTCGGATTTTGGAAATCCGGCTGCCTTTAATTTTGGTTGGTGGAAGTAGGCATGTGCCATAAATTGGAGGACCAAAAAATGAATAAAATAATCCTGAATTGACTAAATCTGGATTCATGAAATCTGAAACTAATGTAATTCGGATTTCGAAAATCCGAGTTACTTACGGACTCGGATTTCGTAAATCCGAGTTTAACGTGCTATAAAAGAAAAAAATTTCAGGCAGTTCTCATTCGAGAACTGAGTTGGATTTTCTGTTTTTGTAGCTCAAACAAGGGCGAATTGGAGCTTTTGATGCATTCTTGCCTCTAGATACGTGGGAATCGTTATTTGAAAGAGGTTAGATTACAAAACCATGTTATTTAGTTTAGTTTTGTGTTATTTTGATTGTTAGAATGATGTATGATAGATTAGGGTTTATGTTGGTTGGTTGTTTGGATGTTTTAGGTGTTGATTTTGAGGTTAGAGATGAGAAATCATAGTTGTTCATGAGATATCGAAGTTGATTTATAAGTATTTTAGTATTTTATAGGTTTTTTGAATTATGAATGGAGTATGTATGGTGTATTTGTTGATTTTGTTATTAAAAAATGATTAGTTATTGATGTTTTTTTTAACAGTTATCAATGACACGTAATGTATCATACATGCTTAATTTGTATCATACAAGAAAGTATGTGATAGAAAACGGTAGCATCAACACTTTTTCGAATATGCCGGATGATGGTTTGTTTGTCGAAGAAAGGTTGTCATATGAGGGATTGATTAGTAAGATTTGTATGACACTTGGTTGGGATCTAGCACACGTGAAACTCTACCTTTCTTTGATTTTCGATAGTCCCGGTGGTAGGCGTGTAGTGAAGATCAAGAATGATTCGCATGTAGAGTTCATGAACCGTGTAGATCCAATGTCATGTTTGGATTTATACATAGATTTGGAAGATATCACTCAAGAAGAAAGAGAAGCGAGTTTGGAAACGTGTCATTTGGTGGTTTTTCAAGGGGGGAACGTGCTAGTACTTCTCGAAACCGTGATGAAGAGGAGACACCTTTATTTGTACAAGATGACTACCTGGAAGAGTCGGATTCCGACTAAATAGCTCCAAGTGAAAGCGAAGAAGACTGTGATGTCTCCGGAGAGAGTGATTTTGAAGAAAGTGATGATGAAAGGTTGGAAAATGAGGAAAGGGATTGTAATCCATTGGGCCGACGCCATGTATATAGTAAGATGGGGAACTAAAATGTCTCATGTGTGGACAATGATGAGTTTGCTCTTAAGATGTGGAATGAGACGCCTGAAGGAATGGACATTGGTGTTTGTTTCAAATCTCAATCAGAAGCAAAGCATGCTGTACAATTATGGTACATCCATCATAAAAGGGAATATACGGTCGCCGCGAGTAGTCCAAGGACGTGGCTGTGCGGTGCAGAACATTTAATGTGGATCATGTATTTGTATTAATATTGATGAATATTAAAATCACAAAAAAATTAAAAAACAACTTTGAAAGAAGTGATGAGACCATAATGGATGAAAAATTGCATAAATTAAGGGGCAAAAAAAGAGTTGAATTTGAAAAGCATGCAAGGGTGAATATATATAATTTAAAAGTTTTACAATACGCAGGGTTAAACAAAATGTATATAGTTTCATTTTAGTTATCATAAGAGTTATAATATATATAAGATGTTAAAATTGGTGAACATAAATTGAGAAAATATAAAAGTTTTAAATATTTATATAATTTATTGTAGAGGAAAATAGAAACATTCATAACTATGTAAAAAACACTAAATTCAAATAGGATATATTGGAATGATTATTATTTTATGAATCATGCATTTCCTTCTCTCTCTCTCTCTCTCTCTCTCTCTCTCTCTCTCTCTCTCTCTCTCTCTCTCTCTCTCTTGCATAGATATGGAAATGAATTTTAAAATTTTTAATAATTACAAAAAAAAAATTTTTATTGTATTTTTGTAATAAAAAGAATTCACAATGCCATATCAACGTTTCTTCTTAAATCTCTTAAAAAAATGTCCCGAATAAAATATGTCCCAAATAATAAAATAAGTAAAACATGGGTCAAAAACATATTATAGTCTTTGTGTAGCTTAAAATTTTTGGAAAAAAAAAAAGAAGAAGAAAAAGTGAATTGATGAAGCTAATGGGAGAAAGCTAAATTTCTCCTTACAAATTTTGACGGTCCAATTTTTTATTTTATTTTTGACAATTAATAAATTTTGAGATTAAAAAGGTAATCATTACTTCTACTCCCTTTGCAGCGGAAAAAAAAAAAACACAGCCTAAGTGTACAATAATAACTTAATTTTAGTTGTTGTAAATAATTTTGATATACTTGCATTTTTAAACAATTTGATCTTACACATCTATAAATTATACTCCCTCTGTCCTAAAATTATTGTGCAGTTTGAGATTTCACTTTTAGTACAATTTGAACTAAAAATGAAAATCCAAACTGGACAATAATTATGGGACAGAGAGAGTATTAAATTAAAAACTGCCGTATGAAATGTTTAATGAAAAAGTACTAATATTAGCTTTGTAACAAAAATATTTTAAAATCTATGCAACGCACGAGAATAATATTAGTTTATAATCTTCTAATTATATGAAAAACAATTGGGCCTCCAATTCCTTTTCTTTTTTAAATAATAATACCCCTCTCTCTAAAAAAGTAGTCCAAATTAAATTTTTAGATTTGTACTAAAAATAATACAAATTTAAAAATTCGTGGCGAACTTTTTCGAGACCTGAGGTAATATGATAAATTGTTCTTAGTTTCAATAAGATTAATTAGTCGCTGTTCAAATTGTTTTTGTTTCTGGTTCAAATGGTATGTGCATCAGAGATCCGATTTGTATATCTGAATTCAAGTTGCACCCTTGGAAAGTTGCAATGAGTGCAATTGGTTTCGAATGGGAGTTTCCCATATACTAATTAACTTAGAAGTTAGAAGTAGAATCTATTTACAATACTCACTACTCAGTTTGAATTGTTAAGAATTTTCTTACGTGTCAAAATGTCAAAATTGTTGTTGTTCCAGTTTAACAAAACAGATTATTTTTTAGGACCGAAAAAATAATTCCATCTTGAATTCAATCAAGATGAAGTAATTATGCCATGCCTATGTATTGGTCTCCCAATCTAGGTTTTGCAATCTTGCTTTTTAATTGAAGGTTTTCTCATTGGGTGTTACTTTTCACAGTGAAGAAATTATTCACTTACAGTTCATTTTAGACAATTTTATCCTTGAACTTTTTCTTTTTCTCCAACATACACTAATTACATTAATTATAAATAAATTTAACTAAATTGATTGAACAATAACACAAAATATAAAACTAAAATAATTGTACAAAAAAATAATATAAAAATAACACAAAAAATTGGGGAAAAAAAAAGAAAAAGTAAGGGTGGCCGGCCCCCTTTTGAAGGTTTGCCGGTTTATTCACCGGCCAACCGGGAAGAAGCGGCCACTCAACCGCCACCCTGGGCAAATTTTTTTTTTTAATTTTTTTTGTGTAATTGTTATTATTTTTTTATATTTACCTTAAGTTTTATTTGTTGTGTTATATTTACTGATTTAATAACATTTTTAATTTAATTGAATTTATTAGGTATAATTAATTTATTTTAATAATTAGTGTAGATTAAATGGAGAAATTAGGTATAATAAGTTTTTTATTATTATTATAATTTATTTTTTATATTCAAATAAAGAATGCACTAGATATTATATTAAAATTATATGGTAAATACATTTTGAGTAGGTTTTTGTAATTAGGTATGTGGTATTTAGTTAGTATTAATTTGTAGGCTTTAATAATTATTGTTTACGTAAATGAATTAGTTATTTTTGTTATATTTTGAGTAAATTATTTAATTACAACTAAATAACACAACATACACTAATTAAATTAATTATAAATAAATTTAACTAAATTAATTGAACAATAACACAAAATATAATACTAAAGTAATAATATAAAAAAATAATGATAACAAAAAAATATAAAAATAACACAACAATTGAAAAAAAAAGGTACTGTCCAGGGTGGCCGGCCCGACGGCCAGCCACCTTGGGCAATTTTTTTTAATTTTTTATAATTTTTTTGTGTAATTGTCATTATTTTTTTATATTTACTTTAGTTTTATTTTTTGTGTTATATTTATTGATTTAATAATATTTTTAATTTAATTGAAATTTATTAGGTATAATTAATTTAATTTAATAATTAGTAGAAATTAAATGTAAAAATTAGGTATAATAAGTATTTTTATTATTATTATAATTTATTTTTTATATTCAAATAAAGAATGCACTAGATATTATATTAAAACTATATGATAAATAAATTTTGAGTAGATTTTTGTAATTAGATAAGAGTTTATGGATAAAATTGTTCAAAACGAACTGTAAATGAGTAATTTATAAACAGCGAAAAGCAATTCAGTTTCCGATTTGCCGGCAATGAGCAAAAATGATCCTTTTTAGCATTTAGTACTATATTTAGTAGGAAAATCTGATGTTCCAAGAAGATTGCGGTCCACACAACTTCCAACCCTACAGGATCATGACATGGCTATAGTTTGAGTCACAAATATTCATTTCTAACTTTGATGGACAAAATTGTAACTTTAACACAAATCTATTTAGAGAATATATAACAGTCACAGCCCATGAAATTTAATGAAGCTTTGAAGTAAACAAACCATTTTTTTAAGGTAGGAAAAGATCATGGAGTGCTCATCATTCTATAACCTAAATTCAGTTGCAAATTCATCCTTTTTCCAGAGATCAGCCCAGAACAATAACTGTCAGAATGCTCCCTCCAGATGCTCATTCCCCTGCTCTCTTCCAGCCCTGAAACTTAAATTCCCCTCCTCTTCATTTGTGTTGCATTGTTGTGATCAAAATGATGAATCCCTCTCAACTTCTGCAGCTTATGATGTTCTTGGGATTGCTCCAAATTGTACTCCAGCTCAACTTAAGGCTGCTTTTCGGGCTAAAGTATGCTTACCATACAAAAAAATATTTATGCATTCATTCCCATTTCGCAGAAATCATATTCTTTTTTAGTTGGTCTAACTGGATTCTGTTCGGCAATGTTTCTGTCAGGTTAAAGAGTTTCATCCTGATGTTAGACAAGATGAGGGAAACTCTGATATAATGATTCGTCGTGTAATTAGAGCTTATGAGGTACTGTCATCATTTCTGTTAGTTATCTGTGAAGTAAAAAGGAACAAAACCATGCTGCAGATTCTGCAGACTTTGAATCTGATTCAGTAATAATCCCTCTGGTCCTATTTATAAGGTATAAATTTGAACTAATAGTTTTAGTTTGTGCCTCATAAATAGGACTAGAAGGAGTATTTGGTTCTGTTGAACAACGAAATACTAGTTGTTGATTAACAACTCTCCTTTGCATATCTGGGCAGATGCTATCCGACTATAGTAGGTCAGAGATAATTGAGAGGTAAGCTAAATAGTAACAGTCATAAGTAAATTGTCCTTTAATTCATGATGCATGGATGGTTTCAATATACCAGTTCTCTGGAGAATAATTATTCTTCAAGATATATGAGCAATAGTAGAGTGTTCATATTGTTTCCATGCGATTGATTCTGTTGAGGAATTCTGAGAAACCAACTTAGCCAATTTGGGAGTTGATGAGGAGACTGATTGTGCTGGATTAGTTTCATAAATGTTGAAACTCGCAACCGTTCCTCTCAGTTAATCACACTGTGATGATGCTAGTAAACTTAGAAATGTATCTGATTACAATTTAATACACCCCTAATGCAACAATGGTTGCGGGATAGTTGCTGACTTGATAGTGTTGCATTTGTAGGGAGTGCTCAGATCCATTTGATGAACCAGAATGTGAGGCATTTGACATCTTTGTTAATGAGGCCATGTGTATTGGTAAAGGTACAAATCTTTTCCTTACATTCTTCTGCAAATTACCAATAAGATATAATTTCTTGCAATTTGTATCTGGTCATCAACTACCAGGATTCTTTGTGAAAGAAATACTATCTAAATTTTTCTCTTTTCATTCATCTTGTTAGTTGTTTTCTCCCTTCTGATTTTGTGGATTACTCTTTCATGAAATTCGATTCCATGTTAGGGTTTGGCATATGCGCTTGTTGTACATGATATGAGTTTCACTGTAGTTCCTCTGCTAAGAAAAGAAAGCTCGGAATGAATCTGTTTCTGATAAGAAGTGGACTATTTTTAAAGCAATTGCAATGAATTGCATTACCTAAGATGGTGTAGTAAAGATGCAATGTATAGTCTTCCTCTGGAAAAAGAATGGATTTTCATACGAGAAGAAGATAGCATATATAGCATTTTTATTTTTAAAATTTTTTTTTGGGTGTCAAAAAAGAAGTATCTTCAGTTGAAATTTTGACATGACTTTTGCTGTGGAAAACTGGTAATGTTTGCGAAAGGTCTGCACATTTGAATTGTTTTTGTGTATTAGTAGCATTGTATATGAAATAACAAGTGAAATAGTTTTCAGAGGTTATTGGTTTCCCAGCTGGGACGATTCGATTCTACTTGAATGCTGACTTTATAGTTTTCGATCCGATTCTATTTTGTGTATTGGTACTGTTTTTTTGCCCTCACTGTAGTTTAAACTTTAAAGAAACCTTTTGATGTTTGGTCGATTTTTGCAGCCTGTCCTTATTCATGTGTCAAGAGAGCACCTCAAGCATTTGAGTTTTCCTCTTTAACTGGAACTGCTCGCGCAACTTCCCAAGGTAGCTCCTCCACCACCATGATTCTACCGCTCTTCCCTTCTGCTTAATCTGCCGGCAAAGTCAATGTGATTGCAACTGGTTAGGAGACTTCACCCGATGATGCCTCCAGTGTGTTTAGTGACATAGCATTGTAAAAGATTCTTTGATATGAGCAGGATTCTTGTTCTTTATCGTGTAGGGCATGGTGAAGATTATGGCGTGCAGAGTGCAGTCGGCCAATGCCCGAGAAGTTGCATTTATTATGTGACGCCTTCACAAAGAATTATTCTGGAAGAGCTCCTTGACAGGTGACTACATGCACTTATATGAAGATAATCTCTTTTGTGCTTGTCTTTTCAGGGTTCTGAAAGACCGAAAACTTTAGGATGCATGACTGCAATTTGCTTCCTTTTTAGCCCGAGGACAAGTCTTTCTTTGCCTTTTCAAGAAGTGCTTCCTTTTGCTGTTAAATTCTTGTGGTAAACAACTAAAGGATTGTCTCTCATTTTTTTCTCAATGCAGTATCATTGATGCTCCATATGACACTTCAGCTGAGGAAGACTTGCTTTACTCCCTCCTCGTGAAGGCAAAATTTGAAAACAACCGGTACCAGAAACCAAAGCAACAACCTAAAGTCTCCACCAAACATGTGGATTGGTTCTAAGGCATGCATTCTTCATCTTAAGATGGTTATTAAGTTGACCAAGTTTAAAAGCCATCTAAAGGCAGCAACTAGAGTACTAAACCAACTGCTCCTGGTTAGGAAACAGAAGTCTCTGGCAAGTGGACATCCCTGGAATTGTCTGGATTTACACGGCCGACCTCTCAAGCGAAAGCAGTTAGCTCGGCGATTATTTTGCAAGGCTGTAATAAAGAAGTAAAATTATAAGATTTACAATATTTAATTAAGCTTTATTTACTAGTATTTTTAGTCGGTTATCTGATTTCAAGCCACACTTCTTAAAATCATTCTATTTGAACATATATGATTTGTAAATATTGTGTTGACGATGCATGCAACCTTTTCTTGCTAGTGTTTTTTGAATACACTAGTGTACAAGAAAAATATTACAAGGAAAATTATAACAAATGGTGTGTCAATGATTTAAGCTATGTCCTAATCTCAAATGTGTAAAATTTTAAAAATAAACGGTGTGTGATCATCTCCTATCATTTTTTTCTTTTTTTTTTTCCTTGCATGAATTAATATCTTTCTGAATAATGATAGAATTAATTCTAAGGTAATCAGAGTTGTTGGATTCCAAGATAATAGCTAACATAAGAGTTGTTGGATTTGAGATGAAATTCAAAATGTGATTTAAATAAAAATTTTAAAAGGTGCTTAGACAATTTTTTAAATAAAATAATATTATTCATCTCTATCACCGGACCATTGACCAACTCGCCGGCCGACCGCCGTTCAATAATGGTCTAACTGGCAGTGGTGGGAGGTGGTTCGGTAGTGGGAGGTGGACGATGGTAATGATGAGTTAAAATTGAGTAAAAACAATATTTAAAATAAATTTTAAAAGGTGATTAAAATGTTGTATGAATAGTACTTATTTTGCTTAAGAATTTTTGTTTAAGAGGTCTTTTAAAAAAAATTTGGGTTTGAGAGGTTGGAAAAACATGCATTGTTTGTAGATGATTAATTATTATTATTATTTTTTTTAAATTTTTTTTGGGGTAAGTTGAATCTTTAATGATCAATACGGCACTCATTTTGTACATTTAGGTACTGTCTTCTTCACCCCACGTCCCCACTCTATCCTGCTACTTATATTTCTGCTACTTATATACCAATTCTGCCTAATAATTTATCTCAGCTTCTTTAAGCTTTTTACTAGATGATTTTTTATTTTATTTTTTCGGTAAACTGCGAATCTTTAATGATCAATACTGCACTCATTTTGTACATATATTTCTGCATCTATACAAGTATATATACCTATTCTGCCTAAATAATCCATCTCTTTAAGCTTTTTACTATTCTCCTGAACTCTCCAACACAGCTCTTGTTTAATAGCGTTAATCTGGCTGCCTGATGACTAGTGTGATTATTGCTGTAGTACACACATATAGCTTCCATATTTTACCAAAGCCAGGAATTACTTCACATCAAGGAAGCAGAATATAAAGGCTAATATCAGTAAGCAAGATGCATACATCGGTTGCAATGAATCAATACTAAAGAAAGCAAAACTAGACAAAAACAATATAGATATTTTCAGCAGGTTTTGTAGCATCAAAGGCTGTTCACACAATCGATTTCCGGCTGTTTCTCATAGCTTTCATCTTAAGTGGGCTCCAAACTAACTGCTTCTTCTGCAGTGCAATGACTGTAGGATGCTTGGGGATCCATGAACTGCGACCTGCCTGAGATAAGGGGGGACTGCACATAAACTTGCTGCTTCTCGTGCTGATCGCCGTTTGCTCTACCACAGCAGCACTGGATGATCCGCCCTTCATCTGTGACATGGGAGAACTCACACTTGCAGTGCGCCATACTCTTTGAGGATCCCAAACGAATGATTTCCTCCCCACGCGCTCTGTCTGCATTCTTGCATTAGACCTATTTAGAGGAGTTGCCATGCTTGATGAACTTGGTTCAGGGCGAAAGGTTGCAATAGAAGCCCGCCTTTTTGGCTCAAGAACCTGTTTTGCTGCAGAAGGCCTCGCCGTAATGGACAAACGTTTTGGTTTCATAAGTGTCTTTGTCTTGCAACTTTCCATCAATGTATTACTGGACATATTTTCCTTGTCACGTTGTTCGGGAAGAGGAATCATAGAATTCCTCGTTTTGGTGGGTGCAACAGGAGAACGTGAAGGCATAAAATTAGAAATTCTACGCAGGGGTAACCTCAACTTTGATGATGGAGCCAGAGGTGGTTTTTTCTCAATAGTGGTCGTCCTCCTCTTTGATTGGCCTAAAGATGATATTGCCGATGATTGAGTAGAAGCAGCAGCAGACAAGGCCTTCGTTTCCTGTTTCAGTCGAAGCTTCCTCTCCTCTGCTAGCTGACTCTCAAGATCTCGAACCTGTAAGAGGTGCGATCATTTGTCTAATATATATACTATGCTCGTAAAACAAAAAAATCTAAAGTGAAACAAATGGAGACATATATGCACCATAAACAGAATCATACTAAACAATGAAATCAGGCTGGAAATTCAAGATCTACAGTACACGAAGTTATAAAAAAAAAATTGTTTTTACTGTGAGTTTACCTTTTCTTGAAGACCTCTACATATGTGTTCTCTGGCAGAAAGCCTTAATTGCATAGACTGAACACTGTCCTGCAGTTTCTTTATCTCCTTCTCATCATTCTTTGCCTTCTCGGCCTGTTTACAGAATGACAAAAGATGAGATGGAATGTTGGTTCACTGACTGTAGGAGATACTTATGCAATGTGCTGTGTCATACATACCAATTGCTTATACTTAAACAGGTCTCCAACATCAGCCTGTTTCCGAGCAGGACCATGCTCAACTCCTCGAACCCGAGTAGCGAAATTTAACGAGCAAAGTGTTTCTCCAAGATCTGCAGCACTTGGGCTGATTTGGACAAACATCAAGGTTTTGCAGTCTCCACCTGCATTTAATTTAATGTGATATGAATCATGTTGGAAAGCTAGTACCTAAAAAGAATTACTCACTGTGAAAGTTGAGTACAGCACAAGTTTTAAGGTGGAACAGGAATGATTGTTGCTTATATTTTATCTGACATCAATCACTAAGTGTATTATTGAATAATTACTTTAATTTTTAAGCTGAAAACGTAGAATCCATTCATGAAAGTCATTGATCAAAGACACTGTAAGTGACAATAATATATTGGCTCTTTCACCCCCCCAAAAAAAGAGATAGTTACATATACGTGTGTAGCTCACCTAGTGAACTCTGCAACATATGTGTGAGTTTGGAGTTCCTGATTCATACAAAGACAAGAGTTAATAAAAAGAAGCAAACATTCTCAAAAGAAGAATTACCATAGACACAGAACCTAAGCATGCAACACGAAGGAAGTGGGTAAGAATAAGGGAAGCTGAACAAAAGAGACATGCCTGTACGGAACATGGGTTGTCTTAGAAGCAAGAGCAGATATAACATCTCCAAGGGCTGATAAGGATTTATTAATAAACTGAGATTCTTTCAACCTTTCTCCTTCTACTTCAAGCCTTCCAACTCGTTCACTCCCTGCCAAGTCAACCAGCCAAAGATGGCTCCTAGTTCGCTGTCCGTTTATCAAATTCTCACCCAAAACTGTCACCCGTACCAAGCTGCGACCATTGTAGTGGTGGAAATCATTGTTTTTCCATTATCAAACGAGTAAGTAGCAGCAAAATGGAAATTTTTATCAAAGTAAACAAAGAAATTAGAAATTAAGAGAAACAAAATTGAAATGTTCTTAAAAGCGAAAAATACCAGTGAGACCGACTGCTAAGCTCATTGGCATTAGTTGATCCAACAGATCTAGCCCGACTCCCAGACTTAAGGAGCTCCCACACTTCGTCTGTATTGTAAACACGAGCTTCAACAAGTCCAGGGACTTCTTGAGTTCCCTCCGCTGATTGCTTTATCTCCAACCTGTGAATCAATTGTGACAAAGCTTATCATTGAGATATGTATATGTGCATGCCATAAGCGGCTGATGAATATGTTCCCCAAAGATATAAGCGGGTAAATGTAATAAAAAGGTTTTCTGTCCTAAAATGAGATACCTATACCAACTATTTACTGCTGATAGAGAAAAAATAGTTTCAGAAAATAAACTAGATTAGATTGTGCACTCCGTCCACTTATCAAGAACATGTGGTGACCTATCCTCCAGACTTGTGAGATCAACGAAGGTACATCTCTAATTAATCACAGAACTATGTTTCAAGATTGAACTTAAGATCCCTTCTAAGTTATTCACACGTTAAAGTTCTTCCATATGGAATCTAATTCTCAATGACCAAATAGAAAAAAAAAAAAAAAACTCAAGTGCTTTGGATGTAACATTCTGTAAGCAGGACAGACTCCCAACAGTCAAGTAAAAAAATACAGCGACTCATACGCCATTAAGCTGGATTACCAGTCACTAGCTTTGAGTACTCATCACAAACCTTTTACTATCAGAAAAATGCCAAGTCAACTGACATTATAAAGAAGAGACTCTTGCATTGAATTTTGTACATTCCAATGAGAACAAAAAGCATACTTTAACTAGAACATGTAGTAATCTTGTATGCATCATAGGCTGCTTCATTTTGACATCAAAACTGAAAAAAAGAACTTACTTTTTAGTAGGTTGATTGCAGTTCTCTACGAGGAGATCCCTTATCTTCTCATTGTAAACTTCCAACATGCTAACCAGCAATTCATATTTCATAAAGTTGCTTCTTACATCAGACACTTTAAACAACTCTTCTAATGTTCGATAATTAACCCCTTTATTCTCTGGGGTTCCTTCCATGGTGAATGTCTTTCCGGTTCCCGTTTGTCCGTAGGCAAATATACAGACATTGAAACCATCTAGAACCGATGTCACGATGGGTATTGTTTGGAGAAAGACAGCCTCTGAAAGAAAATGAAAAATATATGTAAATGAAGCAAGTTGAATTGCAAAATCAGAACAAAAATCACTCAATGTCTCCACAATATCTGACCTTGGTTGCTCTCAGGTCTGAAGATATGATCAAACTTAAACAACTTCTTTGAAGAGTCAGACGACATTATCTGAAGCTCGTTTTCCTGACATGAATCAAAATCGACAACTGATGTGGAGCCATTTGAAATTTCATCGCTGTTCAATGGCCTACACCTACAGAAGACTCTTATATTGCCTTTGAGCTCTATGATCTCATTGTAGAGCCTCTTTCTCTCGTTATACTCGTCAAGATACTTCTTCTTCAACAACTCACACTCTTCATTGTATCTCTTTTTCAGATGGTCATGTTCATCGCCTAAATTTTCAACACAAGGAAGCATATGAGAGAGAGAGAGAGAGAGATAAGTCGCATAAAAATAAAATAAATAAATTCAGGATACTGAGTTTCTAGGTCTTGATCTGGGAATTGGGAAAGAAGTAAAAGCAAAAGAAATTCGAAATTCAGTCGCATGAATTTAAAAAACCATCGACCAAAATTAAACCTAACTGCAAAGATGTCAATTGAAGCATAACGAGAAAGAAAGGGAAAAAAAAAAGTGTACAAATTGAACTCACTGATCCCACAAAACGATGAATTCTTGAAGTTATCATCCGAGACAGTGACAGCAGAGTTGAAATCATGACACAGGGTTTCCATAGCTTGATCTGCATTCGTTCCGGCAAACAAGAATTACAAAAAAAATTAGCCCTAAATAAAACCAACCAAATCAAGAGAGTCTTCGAACGTCACAATTCCAAAACATCTTCACATCTATTCAATAGAAATGAAAAATTTTACTGAAAATTGACAAGATTTGCGTACCATTCATGGGAGAATTCGTCGAAATCGAAGAAAATTGTGTCAATTGATGCAGCTCGAAGAAGAATTTGGAGAGGAAAGGAAGAGCGTGGTGGAGCCAGTGCGTGAGTGTGTGAGAGAGAGAAATTTGGGGCAAAACGGTCGGAAATGAATTCAAAAAAAGAGGGGCGTTGGGCCTTATGGAGGGATTTTAAGTTAATTCGAAAATTAAATGAATGGGAGGCTCACAGCCGTTGGATTAGGATGATTGCCACTTGGGCGCGGATAAAAATCGAATAATATCATGTTTTATTTCTATTTTCGAGGTAAAGTTGCCCCCTTAGTTTATTCAAACTGTGCACCTTATTCACTTTTCATGGTGCACTAATCTGATTACGGTTATCTATTTACAGAATAAATTACATTCTGTTAAATCAATTAATTCTCTCCCTACACTTAATCTATTAAAGTATGTTTTCGTGACAACGATAAATATTCAAATATATATATATATATAATAACAACAAATTTAAAAGGTCATACTCGTACAATGTAATATTCATGAGTGATAGTCATAATTTTTCAAAACATGTAGTATATAACTTTCATGGTTTTTGATTAAAAAATTATAAACACTAATCCCAAATAAAAAAAAATGTAGACTATTTAATCTTATATTTATACACACATTATAATTATTTGATTTTAGTTAAATTTGTAAGATAATTTTAAAAATTATTTTAAATGGCGTAACATATCTAGATTGTTGCAGAAAAACTTTGACCGCAATATTTTTTTTCCCTTTTTGATTATAGTATTACTCTAAAAAACTGTGCACATCCTAATTTGTAACAAATGCAATTTAAGTGAACAAACACATATAAATATGAAGAAAGGGATGTTTTTTTTAATATATTTTTTGAAAATTAAAATGACTAATTAATGAGCTAAGGTTCCATCTGGAGAGAGTTGATTAAGATTTTCCATCATAGTACCATTACATTAGTTGAACCTTTGGATTTCTGACTGACCATGCTTTTAACAAAGGAAACAAATGATTTAACCTTGTAGCATTACAATTTCAATAGTATTTATTGCCCTTTACCACATTAGAAGGAACTAATCACCTCTGTATTTTCCTTGAATTTAGTGATGTTCAACTTAACATGCAGGTTACATCAATTTGCTAGTTGAAATTGATCACATTAAACAAAAATTATAATGTTATTCCAGACTGGTTGCCTTGAAATTTTCTTTTGAAAATGTAGCTTTAATTTTTTTTTTCCAGATGTATACATATATATATATATATATATATGATTTCGGGATTGACAATTGTTTCTTATTTCTTCTAAATAAAATTGTTTGTAACTTATTTGTAATTTATGGAATTGATTGAGAAAAGGAGCTACATAAGTTCATAATTTAAAAGTTAAGGATTTAAGAATTGATTCTTTCTTAATGAAAAAAAAAATGGCAATAGAATAAGATTATAGCATTTTTATACTAATAATAAAAAAAAATTTAGAAAATCGTGGCATTCCGTAATTGGCCATCCATACAGTTAGCTTTTCCCTGCTTCCACAGAAGAATAGAAAACTTATCTCAATTCTAACAACAGAGCAGAAAACTAACAGCTCGATCCCAAGTCTCAGGATTTTGGAGCAAAATTGGAACTTTTTTTTTTCATGGCGTCTTCATGTGCAAACCTCTCTTACTGCTCATTTTCACTTCCCAAAACCCTGTCTCGAACCACACTCTGTTCGCCATCTTCCTGCAATCCTAACATTTCCTTCTTCAATGGGATTTTAGTTCATGGCAGAGAACCCATGTCAAGGATGCATGCCAAGTTTGAGAAATTTCAAGGCCCAGGATACCTTGATGACGGTGATGATGATACTGGTCAGGTTTCTAGTCTAGACCCACAAGCACAGACAATTCAAGAAGGATTTGACGAGGAAGGAGAAGATGATAGGTGGATTTATGAATTTCAATTGCTAATAAATGGCCTATCAGTGTTATGAAGCCGAGGCTTCAGTCTTGCGAATTTAGTACCTCGTTTTGTTAATGGGTTCAGTCGCTGCGTTTCTGTTTGAGGATTATGTGATAGGTTTTTTTCCTCTTTGAAATTTATCAACTAAACTGAAGTAGGATGGCTTGATTTTGTTAGTTTGCAGTGGTACTGTTGAAGGCTAATTAAAGTGAACATTGGACTCTTTCCTCTTATGATTGAGATATACAAAGTACTTTTCTTTAAACCATGTTGGATTACTTTTGCAGTTGTCTCCCGTCTAGCTTGGAGGGAGCTGTTCAGCAGTCAGGCCAAGCAGCTGCAGATTTTGTATTTTCTGGAGGAATGAGAGCCATAGTAAGTTTTGGAATGATGCTTAACTTTTTCTCTTATGCCATTGGGCGGATACTTTGATGTTTATCTGAATATGATCCCATCCGTAATGGATATAATTTCCTCTTGTTCCTGGAAGTTATACTAGGCTTGAGTCCTGACAAAATGAATTTGCGGACACATGCTGAAAGTTGTGCTTAAAACTTGATGAATAGGATTTATATCCCCCTAAATTATCCTCTTCTCTGATGCCTAACTACAAGACCTTTTAGTATGTGGAAGTTTGCACTCACGTTGGTCTCATTTGGAGCAGCATGATCATTCCAATTTGCCTTTGCATTAGTTTAGGTTCTTGTTGTCCCAAACATAACCTGATTGCCAGAGGTTATTTCAGATGCTTGTTCTTCTATCGGTTCTCTTGGCCATGCTTTGACTTCCCCTTCCACTTTTTCACCAGGTTGAACTCCTAATCCCACAGCTGATTTTCCTTGATGACGAGGGTGCTCAGTCTGAGCTCTGGGAACTTTCAAGGATATTTTTGGATACACTAATTGAAGAAACAGGATGTCAGGTTCTTTCGATAATTTGTGATATGTGTACGATTTGTGCATGAATGTTTTGCATACACCTTGTCGATTGCCAATGTGAAGGGGTTTTTTCCCTTAGTGACTACATATCTTCCTGACAGAAACTCAATTTCTGTGATCTCAAATTTTATGTTTTCAGCGAGTCAAAGCTGTATTTCCAGATGCTGGGGCTGCTGCTCTTCTGAAGTATCGCTGGCAAGATGCTTCATTTGAGTTTTCCAGGTGAAGCCTAGCTATGATAGATACTACTTTGGACTTTGGAGGGATTACCATTTTCAAATTCATGGATTAGTAAAAAGTTTCTCCCTCTATCCCATTTTAATAGTCCACTTTGGTGTACTATTTTAGTTCAACAAAGTGGACTAGTATAATGGGACAGGAGTAGAATTTAGTGAGGACTTGCAAAAATACACTGATTTTCATTATGAGATATATAGAGTAGAAACTTACTAGCTCAATGGCAAGGGTAAGAGGTGGGGCTGAAAGGGTTTGGAAATAAATTATAGAAACTAATAATAATTATCTGAACTTAAAACGAAATTGGAGACTTATGATCTGTGCGATCAACCTCTTAGGTTTACTGCTTTAACTGGAAACAGAAAATTTCATTTCAAAGACGAAGGTCTTACTGCAAAACAATATTTAAAAACATACAAGCTGTTGTTGCGGCATGGATTCTGTATTGAGTAACTCCTAGCTTGATCCTATCGGACATCATACATATTCCCGAACTTATTGAGCAAATTATTTCTCAATTCTGTTTTCTTCAATGTCAGGATTTCTCATATCTCACTACTGTGCATTTGCTACCTATTTTGACTTGGTCAGCTTGGGTGACCGAAAGCCTGTGACAAAAGAAGATGAAATTGTTGTGATGGTGGTTCCAGACTATCAGATGTTGCAATATGTTGAAAAAATCGCATCTGAACTCTCAGATGATCCAGTACGTTCATCTTTTCATGAAATTTCAGTTGTCAGATCAGAGTAAAGATCAACTGGTATAATCACCTCATTCATGGCTGCTTAAGTTATTTCCTTGGCTTATTGCCTTTGAGGACCAACCATCTGCAAAGGGTTGTTAAACTGAGACTGTTGAAAGTTTTGGGGTTCGCGCACTTGAATATTGTCAATGGCCGTAGCGCATTACCGTAAGCTTGTCCAAAGTTGCAGGAGCTCAAAAGAGTTAGCTACTTTCTGCCCCTTAATTAGTTAGAAGCCACAAGCTACAATTTAGAATTAACCTAAAATTAGTCTGCACACGCTGGAGTTTAGCTCAGGAACATGAGTTTCAGTATTTAGATCATTTGCCAGTCTACAGCTTGAATTAGAGTTTGTTCCATCTTTCTTCAAAAAAAGAATAATAATAATAATAATAATAATAATAATAATAATAATAATAATAAAAAGAAAAAAACCATTAGTTAGCTCCCTAAAGTGAGAAATTAAAAATATGTGAATCTTTCAGTTCATATTAGTTATGGTTCATTTCTTACAGTTTTCCTTATTTAATATAGCCCAGGCCTCTTCTCATGTGGAACCCGCGTCTTGTTAGTGAGGATGTTGGTATTGGCATCAATGTTCGTAGATTACGGAGAAACTTTTTGAGGTGAAATAGACAGACTTTAAAGTAGTTGCCTTTTTATGTCATCTTCAGAAAACCTTTGAACTTTGTATTGAACTGCTTTTGCATGACTATGAAGTTATACCACTTTCTGTTCTGCTTATCAGCACCATTGATTTCGATCACGTAACTCAGTATATATAGACGCCAAATACAAGTCATCTGATTACTCACAATGATTGTATGTGCTTTGTGCATGTGTATTTCCTCATTTAACTTCCAGTAGCTGTTTTCTTGATCTATTTTGGGAACTCATTTCTTTTCTTGCCAAATATTCCCCTTACAGTACATTTTCGGTGGTTTACTCAATGCGACCGCTTCCGAAAGGTGCTGTATTCAGATGCTACCCAGGGTAAGCTAATCATTCATTATTTTTATCTCCACCTTCCATGGTTAGTCATCTTTCTTCCTAGACTCATTGTGCTGCAATAGATCACTCTAATAAAAGAGCCTCTATTGACTTCAAATCCATATTCATTTATGGAATTACGCCAGTTTTGATTCCAATATGGGAGTACCTGGGAATATTTTTTATTTACAAGTATTAGAAGCACTTTTTATCCACGGAGTTTGAAGGAAAAAATGACTAGGAAGAAGAAAAGCATGCTAAAAGAATCTCCTTATTGTTCTCTCATGCATCTTGCCAGATTATGGAAGGTGTTTTATGATGATAAAGACAGGCCGAACAGGTATCTCCTGGCCAAGGAATTGGTGAGCCGTCCTGATGCAGAAGAACTAGAGGTCAGTTTTCCCAGAGTCATTTCACTCTATTAGTTAGCGGAGAGTATCATAGTTGGAAATAAGAATCTGAATCTGCTTGTGGTATAATGGAGGATGTGTTATCACCAGAAATTATGCTTCTTGTTGATTAACTAGTGATATGTTAACATTTAAACACGCGAAAGTTGGATCTCTACTTGCAGATAATTTTCCGGGGATCAGAAGAGAAGCCAGACAAAGCTTTATCCTTCTTTGATCAAGCAGCTAGTATCTTCTCCTCATTGAACCAATTCATGAAAGTCATTTCACGATAGATTTTTGTATGTAGTTTTCCACATATATCGTAGATCTAGTTTGTATGATGATACAACAATTCTCAACGAAACATGTTTTATAAACAGCTTCCTTTCCAATTTCCTATCAGAATCTTAGCATTCAATATCTCATCTTCAATTCTCTCTTAATCATGCAGTGCACCAAGTCGAAAGTTTTATGACCTTTTTTTGCGTCTTTCGCGAACTACGTACCAAGCCATTATACCATTATGTGTAACTAGATAAATCATATTGTTAACCATCATACTTAATGGGTTTGTGCTTCAACCTTAATACAAGAAGTACAAGGTAATCATCTTGGGAGGTGATCTTGCCCTCTTAATCGAGCGAATCGCCCCGGAAAGGCGTTTTCTCCTCTTGAGACAGCTGTGGTCTCGTGACATCAAAATCATTTTAGACCATCATGCTTTGAGTGATAATCGTCTTGAGGTGACCATCCCACCCATGATGGGGTAAGCTTGTTACTTCTCTTTTTTTTTTTTTTGAATTTGTAAATATGGTTTTGATGACACGTGCATTGTAAGTTGTTTGGAGTCTTTGTTAGCTGCTATAGGTGCATACTCTTGGAGACCTTTTACATTGTATCATTGGGTTTGGGGACGTTCAAGTATGCTCTTTTTGTGGAAGAAATACAATGTGCAATTCCTTATATTCCAGTTTAGAATTATAATGTTTTTGAAATACTGTTAGTCTGTTCTTGTTCTTGTATCTGCAACAAATGTTCTTCAGTGAATTCAAATCTCATTGATGCAATAATGATAAGGCCAAACAGGTAGTTTTAAGAGCATAATAAGAATATCAGATTAGAAGCATTCATAAACACAGTCAAGAACTGGCCGATGTATCATTACAAACCCTAAAAAGGAACTGAATATTTGACATGATAAAGATCCTTTCATTACAGCTAATAAAAAAAAATCATAACTCATTCAACTATAATCTCCTCCATAAGATTAGAAGCTGGTGAGATGGAATCAGTGAGGCATATTTTGTGTGGAAGTTTCTAGTTAACGTTCCATAGGATGCCTTGAAACTAGATTGTGTTCCCTTTGAGTGGGAATTCAAGCGAGTGGATGAGTCATATAGCTGTTCAAGTAGTTACTTGGTATATATATGAATTCTTGTATCTGATTTAGTTTGACTGTAGCTGTTGAGGTTGAAAATGTAGAAAATTTGGATGGAAACGAGATAAAGGAGGCAAAGACTTGTTATAGTCAAATTTACTTCCTTCTTTTCTGTTCAATTCTCTCGCCCGTGCATAAATTGGAGATGGAATCTGTAACTCGCTGTAACTTCAAAGCAGTTTTCTTTGAATTATTTTATTATAGTAGGCAACTTATCTTTTTCCTAAACTGTATGATTTTTAAGATAGTTTTGAGTGCTCAGCTTGACTAACTGGTGCAGTTTCAAATGGTGCTCACCCCTCTATTCTTTTAATTTTTTATTTGTCCATTTTTTTAATATATGATTCGTATAGCTGAAGGTTACATGGTAATAGCTGTATTGGCCTTGTTTGACTAAGATTATTTGCTCATAATTCTTAAAATCGTCTTTCATGATTGTAGATACTTTCTCAAAAGGGGCACCTGGATCTGATAACAACAATACCCAGCAGGGTGGTTGGTTTCGGACTTTCTCTATAGCTGCATATAAGCCTTACTTCGATGTTGACACTTCTGATGTCATAGAGAGGATCGTAGAATCGCCGTTCCTATTCCGAGGAAGTTTCACGGAGAAGACTACAGAGCGTCCTGATTTGTAAGACAATTTTCGAAAGAAACTTGAATAGAAATGATCTTACTTCTGACTGTCCACAATGAAACTTGAGAAGAAGTGCAACATTTTATCTTCTAAAAGCAAAAGTGGACTATGTCTATTATAATTTTGCATCTGTCTGTTTATGATTTGTTTTAATATTTTTGGTAATGATGGATTTAAAATTTGCCTATAGTATTGGATGGTCTTCAGTAGCCAGGTCTATGTTCTCAATTTACAATTTCATTGTCGTGGTTGTGAAGCTGAAATGTACAATTAGAATTGTATTCAGCAGTCTTCTTTATTAGTCTCTCTCCACCCCTCCCCCTCTCCATTATCGAAAGGAAGGGACAAAATGGTCAAATGTCCTTTATGAATTTCTTCCTGCGTGTATTTTCCATGTCTGCAATTTACTAGTAATCTTCCTATGAATTTAGTGACAATTTGAATTAGTATTTCTTTATAAGATTTCTAGTTAGAAGTACTTAAGATTTCATTCTGTCTTTGTCTTCTATCTCTGCTATGGTCGAAAATGTCTTGCGCAAGATCAAACATAGAAAGAAAGATTCCTTTTGAGTGTCAATCATTCCATTTTATAATTAGGTTAATTGTTCTAGCAAAAGTTCTGGGTCATCGTCATGCATTGGTAATTGGCTTGATGTTTGATGATGATGAATGACTTGTTCATGGCTTAAGTTCTCATTTGACAGGTATGGGCCATTCTGGATATGCACTACTTTAATATTTGCGGCAGCTTCCATTGGTACATTCGTTACATATTTGTCTCACAAGTTACAGAACAAGGAGTGGAACTATGACATTAATTTGGTGACATGGTCTGCTGGTTTGTGCTGAGGCTATGTTACTATAGTTCCTATCTGCTTGTATGTTATTCTCAAGTATTTCTCTGCCCCGGCTGGCCTTGTTCAGCTGTTCTGTCTTTACGGCTACTCTTTGTTCATCTTCATTCCTGCTTTGGTAAGAGCTGCTAGTCAAATCCTATATCTTTAACAGTTTAAGCTATCTAGCCCTATTTGATAAACTCATTCAGCATTTAAACTTAATTTAAACTTAATTGATTAAGTACTTAATTGATTAGCACTGTTTGATAATACAATCTTGTAACAACTTAATTGATTAAGAACTTAACTAATTAAGGATTTAAATTTTAAGTGCGTTTGATAACTCAAAGTCGGATATCTTAATAAATTAAGTGCGTCTGAAATGCTAGTACAAATATGTGTCTAAAAATAAGTAAGAGGCCTATCACTTATATCTGAATTGAATTCTTGAAACTATTATTTTCCTTATTTATTAACTTTTATGTTTATTCTTTTGATGTTTTATCTCGAAACATTTTTGTTAATCTTGATGTTTAGTTATAAATTAAAATTTATATAAATTATTTTTTTATTTAATAAATATTTATTTTTAATAAAAATAATTAAAATACGTCAAAAGTCCATGATAAATATATATTTACCGTGAAGATATGATTTTTTTTTTCTTGATAATGATAAAGATATGATATTATTATTAACTAAAAAAATAATTCCATAATAAAATTTGTATATTTTTATTGCATGATTTTATGATAATACTATTATTTTTATTATCATATTTTCACATACATCAAATTTTTTGGATAAAATTAATAAGTCAAGATATTTTAAATTTCAGTGTTCAGACTTCAGATTTCAGACATTTTATTCAGTTTTCAGATTTTAATTTTTATCAAACAAAGCAAACTTAATCAGTTCAGTACTTATGATTCAGTCTTCATATTTCAGACTTCAGACCCAAATTGAGTTTTATCAAACGGGGCTGCCTAAGTGTGCGTGTATGTGATGTATAGGTCTCCACAATGGATCTTTTTGCTAGTTCCTAAATGTTTCTTCTAGTGAAAGCATGGCCAAAGTTATTTATGTTTTTTTATCCTTCATGATGAATAATTGATCTAATTTTAGCCCTGTTGTTCATATCGCATCCTAGTCAGCCTTGGTGGTGGGCGTTATTGCGGAAGTTTCATGTTTAATTCTGAACCCGTTTCTTGCCCTTATATCTAAACTTGCCATCATATTTGGCTGAAATCCTGGTTCTTCTCTCTTGCAGTGTCTCTCAGTTATTCCATTGCAAATTGTCAGATGGGTCATTGCAGGGGTAGCTGGATTCATGTCTGCTACTTTTGTTGCTCTTAATCTCAAAGCTCATATTAATTCCGCAGGTGAAAGATGGTTCTTGATTGTGGTGGGAATATTCCTGTTGCAACTAGCTCTTGCCTTGGTGTTGAAGCTGTATCTCTTCACTGTGTCAGTGTGAAAGGTAACACCCATTTTGCCCGTCCTTATCAGCTTAAACAGGAATACAAGAAGTTGATCCAAAGCCAATATCTTCATTCATTCTCGACAATGGTAAATCTCGATTCATGAACCTGTACAAGAAGCATAAGTGTATGTTTAATCTCACATAGTTTTGAGGTCTTTGGCAAAAGGATTGTAAGATACATGGAAAAGATGACGGGTGATTTTGGACATAATTCAGTGTCCAGCAGACAGAAAAATAGGTTTGCCACGAGACGAAGACAAAGTTTTTGCCTTAAAATAACGAAAGATGCTACCTTAAAGTAATGCAAAACTAAAGAAACACACGAGTATCTTTCAAAAATTTAGCAACAAAAACCATATTGTTTTGGGAATATGCCATTGAAAATTGCACCGTCAGGGAGCATAGCCCCTATTTTCCTAAAGAAATCATGGAATTGATACCTAGGGAGTGACGTCACGTTCTTTTAACAAGGAATTAAACAGTGGATTTGGAACAATTTGAAGGCAAAGGATTTCCGATGGGGGGATCAACTTTGTCGCCACTTGTTGGTTGTTGTGGAATTGAAGAAATGACCGTGTCTTTAATGAAGGAATCATAACAGTGCAAAATACAATCAGAGTTGTTATACATAAATTAGAGATCGCAGTGTAATGGGTTGATCCAGTGGTGTACAAGGGGAGGGAGCAATCTGGCAAGCCAAGGTTGAAAGAACCCCGATCCAAGCTGGGTGAAAGCCAACTGCGATGGGGTGGTGTGTTTGACCACATGAAAGGCAGCAGTTGGTATTTTACTCAGAGATGAGGGGGCCGGTTCATGATAGCATGCAACAAGAGTTTGGGGCGTGTTCTATTGATACAGCGGAGCTTAGAGCGATCATCCTTGCCATGGAGGTTGCTAAAAAGAAGGGCGTATCCAAATCCCAAATTGGTTGTAGAATCAGATTCGCAGGTAGCTATAAATCAGGTGAATCAACTAAAAGTAGAGACTTAATACCCACTTGATCCCGAACTTAGATGTATATATAATCTTCTACAGTTTAATTTGGAGGTTGATTTTGTTCACACTTTTAGGGATAATAACATGTGTGTGGACGCCTTAGCAAAAGAGACGATTAGAGTAGATTGGGGGTTATATTTTTTTGATGTTCTCCTGGGGTTTATAACCCTGCTATTAGAGGCATACTCTAGAAATGCCTCAACTTTTGTATAATTAGCTCTTCAGTCGTGTGGCGGAGTCTTTTGTTTACCAAAAAAAAAAAGGAAAAAAAAAAAAGAAATCATGGAATGGATGAGGAAAAAAAGGAGTTTTTTTACCCAAAAAATTATTTAAAAAAGACCATGGATAAAAATAATATAAATCTAAATTAGGTGGACAATATTAGTTCTCTCGGATTTGCCAAATCCGAAGTACCGTACAGTCGGATTTCACAAATCCGAGACCACCGAAACTCGTATTAGTGTAATCCGAGACTTTAGTAACCTAAAATTACTTAAATTAAATCAAAGAATTAATTTAAACTAATCAAAAGTCGGATTTTGCAAATTCGAGAGTCAGCAATAAAAAAAAATATATATATTTTTTTAAAAAAATCTAAGTGTTTGAAAATAAAAGTTAACTAGAAACGGATTAGCCTAATCCGAAACATGAAAATTCGGATTTTGGAAATTCGAAAGTTTATAATAAAAAATTATTTTAAGTTTTTGAAAAAAAAATCTAAGTGTTAAAAATAAAAGGGAAGGGACTCGGATTTCAGTAATCCGAGACCCTCTGTGCTTACTCTCGAATTTGAAAAATCCGAGTTGTTTAGAAAATTGCAGCTTTCAGATTTACGTTCACCCGGGTAGTACCCATACCCACACAAGGCACATTAAACCAAACCCTAAACCCTAATTCAACGTTTTAAACTAAATCGGATATTGAAAACCTAATTTTTAGTTAACCTCGGATTTTAGAAATTCGAGTTTAAACTAAAATCGGATTTGGAAAATCTGAAACCAAACACTAAACCCTAGAAGTTGGATTTTAGAAATCCGAGTTTAAACAAATCTCGGATTCTCTTAATCCGAGTTGGACATAAACTTGGATTTGGAAAATCCGAAACTAAATCCTAAACCCTATGGCCTGATTTTGAAAATCTAATTTTTTGCCTAACTGAGTTCTGAAAATTCGATTATTTGCTTAAAAAATAAATAACACTAGTACATATGAATTATACTGAATTAATAATAATATGTAATGATTAACAGATTCAACAGTAATATGTAACACTAGTACCAGTGATGTTAAATGGGTAATAGTATTAATGTACTACATAATACAAGTACGTATAAATAGTATATAACAGTAGTACACATGAACTATACTGAATTAATAATAATATCTAATATCTAACAGATATAACAGTAATAAGTAACATTAGTATCAGTGATGTATAGTGAGTAATAGTATTAATGTACGACATAATACTAGTACGTATAAAAAGTACATAACACTAGTACATATGAATTATACTGAATTAATGATAATATCTAATGACTAACAGATTTTACATATGAATTATACTTAATTAATGATAATATCTAATGACTAACAGATTTAACAGTAATAAATAACACTAGTACCAATAACGTATAGTGGGTCATAGTTATTAATGTATTGCATAATACTAGTACGTATAATAAGTACATAACATTAGTATATATGAATTATACGGAATTAATGATAATATCTAATGACTAAAAGATTTAAGAGTAATAAGTAACACTAGTATCAATAATGTACAGTGAGTCATAGTTATTAATATACTACATAATACTAGTACGTATAAAAAGTACATAACACTAGTATATATGAATTATACTGAATTAATGATAATATCTAATGACTTACAGATTTAACAGTAATAAGTAACATTAGTACCAATAATGTATAGTGGGTCATAGTTATTAATGTACTGCATAATACTAGTATGTATAAAAAGTACATACACTAGTATATATAAATTATACCGAATTAATGATAATATCTAATGACTAACAGATTTAATAATAATAAGTAACACTAGTACCAGTGATGTATAGTGGGTAATAGTATTAATGTACTACATAATACTAATACGTACATATAGTACATAACACTACGTAATACTAGTACATATGAATTATCTTGAATTAATTTAATTCAAATTCTTATTAGATTTAATAATACTACGTAACATTACTTATATATGTTTTTCATCAATTTCATGTAAATTTCTAATAATTATTAGTAATAAAAGATTTTATTAATATCGTATCTAATATAATATTTTTTATTTTTTATTTTTTTTAAAAGTGGATATGTCAATTTAATGCGAATTCTTATCAAAACTCAAATTTTTAAATTTTTTTGCACTAAAAGATTTTTTTTTTTAAAAAAAGGTAGTTCGGATTTCTGAAATCCGATTTCACGGTTCTTTTATTTAATTTTCAAACTTTCCCACTATAATAAATTTTAAATTTTCCCGCCCTTCAGTTTTTTTAAAAAAATTATGTTGTGAAAGCTCTCGGATTTCAGAAATCCGAGTTTACTGTACACATTTTGACCTCGCCTCTTTTTTTTTTCCTTTCAAAATAACAAAAAAAATTAATATTTTATTATTTTTATTGTTTCGGATTTGGCAAATTCGAAAGTCCAATTAATTAGACTCTTGGATTTGCCAAATCTGAGACAACTACTTATGTCTACCAAAATTAAAATAAATTTTTTTTTCCACATTAATTCTTTTAAATTTTTTGGCCAAACGACCCGGAAAAAAAGGCCTTTAATTTCTGAACACAGGAATGACTTTTCAGAAGTTGTGAAATGGAGGAACTGGTCCAACCGTCGATCCAGAAGTTCAGGTTAGTGCCACAACGTTGTGCAACATTCAATCTTATTTTATTTGTCATGTCCTTATTTTAATATTCCACTTTGTCAAAATAAAACGGAAGGAGTATGCCATTTTATCATGGTCAATATTATTATCATTTGAAAGGCACAATACTAGGAGGGTACTTACAAAAGTGGCCACCATCTTGTTTTGTTTCTTAGCATGGAAAATACTTATGTATTCACTTTGTTGACAAATTTGTAGAATTAGTAATTTAGTATGAGTAATTTATGAAATCATGACACCTTTAAAAAAATTCTACCGACTTAAATTGACTTCTTCTACAAGTTCAAACTTCAAATTCCAATCCTCATCACCTTATAAATAAAACCATTGCTCCCAACCAAACCTCCCAGAAAGACTCACTATTTCCTCTTTTTACAATATTCCTGGTATTTGCCACTGAAGAAGAACCTCATCAGGACTGCTCCTCTGAGCATGGTCATGTGATGGCCAAAGGAAATATTAGTCAAGTTGGGTGTTGTTTTTTCTTGATGATTCTACTGAGTTTTTTGGCATTACAACAACAAATAGTTACTGGAGCCAGAAATCTTCAAGAGAAACTAGTTGATGATCTTCTTGATTCAAGTTCCAGCAACAGTACTACCAGTACTTCTTCTTCTTCTACTTCCAATGATTCAAGTGGTGATGATGATCAAGGGTTTTATGCAACAACCAACAGAGAAGTACCATCTTGTCCTGACCCTTTACACAATAGGTGAGAGAATTCATGTTCATCATGAAGGGCTTCAACAATCAAGAAAATCATTACAGAATGAATGAATTGTACAAGTGATCACATCATACCTCCATTCTTTAATTCTATCGCTTAGCTACCTTTAGCCAATCCAAAACCTACTTTTTCTTTGGATTTGGCTTTAAATGTTGATAGTAGTATATACAGACACATTTTAGTTTTACCATAATGAAAACTTTGGTTAATTAGATATAGTGTGTGCATTCTGTTGTTTTATACTTTCTCCGTTCCAAAATTATTGTCCAGTTTGAGATTTCACTTTTAATACAATTTGAACTAGAAATGAAAAGCCAAATTGAACAATAATTATGAGACGGAGGGAGTAAT